ACATACATACATACATACATACATACATACATACATACATACATACATACATACATACATACATACATACATACATACATACATACATACATTTACATACATACATACATACATACATACATACATACATACATAGATACATACATACATACATACATTACATAACATACATTACACACATACATACATACATACATACATACATTACATTACATTACATTACATTACATTACATTACATTACATTACATTACATTACATTACATACATTACATACATTACATACATTACATACATTACATACATACATACACGCATGCATACATACATACATACATACATACATACGTACATACATACGTACATTACATACATTACATACATTACATACATTACATACATTACATACATGACATACATTACATACATTACATACATTACATACAGTACATACATTACATACATTACATACATTACATACATTACATACATTACATACATACATTACATACATTACATGCATTACATACATTACATGCATTACATACATTACATACATTACATTACATTGCATTACATTGCATTACATTACATTACATTACATTACACTACACTACACTACATTACATACATATATATATATATATATGTATATATGTGATACCCCCCCATGGAATCTGGTTTTACTGATTTTTGGCAAATCTAGAATCTCAAATTTCATGTTCTCAAAACTTCCAATTGTGGGTCCCCAAAGCCCAATTTGGAGCCCGGAGTCCTCCATAATGTCCCAATATGATACGATTTCCAAATCGGATTTACTAACTAGAATTGGAATTTTGAATATAGTTTAGTACGGATAGTTTTCAAAAATGTGTCTATGTTCAATTACAGCTTGAATATGCAAATTCTTTCCAAATAGGAGCTACATGAAATGAAAATATAGTTTCGGGTAAACTCCAACCAATCTTTAACAAAAGAAGTTAGATAGGAGTTTATTCCCAAATACAATCTAAGTGCTAAATATAATCTAATACGAACACAATTCAATTAGCTTTTGAGAATAACAATTAACTAGAGACTACTTCTCAAATATATGTCATACTAAATATGGCTAACCATTTAAGGGACTTCTACAAGGAAGTTCAAAATACAATTTGTATTATTTTCATCCTGGCCCTTTTGTAGCATAAGAAAGGTCCGACATTGAACTTGATAGACGGTGTTCCAAAGAGAAATTTCAGGGGAAGAGAGGTTCAAATTCTAAAAGTATCTCGAAACAGGGATTCTAGCTAAATCAGTTGTATTTAAAGTTCTATTTGCACAGGAAACAAAATTCATTCTATCTCAAAAGGTGGAGGTAGTAGGAGCAAATGCGGACAGGTAGTTCAAGAGGGGGGGGACGGTGTGTGAACATACATACATATGTATATCTATATATGCACATACACACATATATAGTACCCCAATGATCCTGCGCCTCTTCATAAAATACTGGAAAATGCAGTGTTTTTGAGCATTACACCTACCTTTGCTTACCTCCTGGAAAAGGGCCAACATGAGCATGGCTCACATGAAGCTCACCAAAAGCACTTGAAAGTTTGTCTAACCAATAACTGAAACGTGTTTCCACTGGATCGCTACGCACTTGAAAGTATTTTACCACTGGATGGAAGATTCAAGATTGAGGATTACACAGAAAACTTGCCTGAGAATTGTCAAACCTGGCCAAACCCAAACGACATTCAAGTTCTTCTAACACTTGAAAGTGCTTTACCACTGCATTGAGGATTCAATACTGAGGAGTGCACAAACAACAACTGTCCTGAGAATCATCAATCCTGGTCAATCCCTAAACATGCTCAAGTTGTTCTAACACCTTGAACGTATTTTACCACTGGATTGAAGATTCGAGATTGAAATATTTCACGGAACGCTTTTCCGAGAATCTGATTGAACACCGAGAGTATTGGGACAACCCTGTTTTTCATTATTATCTGGGATTCAAAATACAAAATTCAAGATTCCCAGAAAATACTCAGATTCTTGAATCTTGAATCTTGAATCCAGGATTAAAACAAGGCTGAGCTGTTCTTGTACTCTCGGATGCATTCAAACTCTTTCAGATTGCAGATTCTGATGTCATTGTTTTTATCACATCTGTATGTATGCATATACATATGGCACCCCCCAAATTTTGACACAAACTCCAAGAAGCAAAAACAAGCATAAATCACACCAAACACAGCATCCATGGCGGGGGCTACCATATATATATATATATGTATATGTATAGAAATAATGTTGGCAAAACCTGGTTTTGCCCGGTTGATTGCCAGGACGTTGCAGAAAAAGGTGTTTGGCCATGGGGGTTAATCAAGCAGCTTAAATGGCCTGAGCAAGTAAACAACTTAATAACAGTTGGCTTGAACAAGTTGGCCGAAGCGATTAGATCAAAGCGATTGGATGAACGATGGCAGTATTTGCCAACTTGAGTGAAATTGGCATCTGAATAAAGGTGCAAAGAAGCTTGGGGCAAACAAGAAAAACACACTCGCATGGCCAATGATGTCACTACACGAAACCGATGGGCACCATGAAACAACTTGCAACACCAATACCATAAAACACAGATACCCAGTAATATAGTCCATTGACGTTGCTCATATTGTGGGTGTCAACCAACAATTCGAAGGCCTAAGGAGAACCCTACTTGGAAGACACAAACACCTATGGAGAACCCTGGCACAATATGGGTGTGTCTCCACATAGGCGACCCCCCCAAAAAAAAACAAAGAAGAAACAAAAGCTTGGCGTCCTTTTGTGTTACTGTCAAACCCACCCCAAAACCGGGTATGCCCCTCAAAAAAACGGCAAGCCCCGTATCAAGACCCGATCAGACCCTTAGGGTCTCACGGCTGCAGCCTTGCAAACGTGGCGGGCGAGCCAGGCGCCGCTGTGCAGGCGAGAGCTTGTCCGGCAACACCTCGCGGTCAGCTCAATGGATAAGCCATGTGTTTCCAGGTCTAGGCGATTTGTTCAGACCAGCCATGGTTTGGTCACTCTGAGGTTCGGATCAATGCTCTTAAAATGTCATTGGAGATACCAGGATCATTGTTTCTCAAAACAGGAATCGGCGCCTATGGTTGACTTCTGGTTGGTCCACCATTTTGAGAAACTCCCTGTTTCCGTTGACTTGGGCAAACAAAAGTGTCCACCCAGCGCCGGCTGGTTCAAACATCTGAGACCACAGGCTGCACACCCGCCGCCCGCAAAACTCGAGTGGCCATGTGTTGTTGGCGAAAAGCGCCCTCCCAAATAGTTAGTCGACATAAAAAAAAACGCATCGATGTCCACCGCAGGACTCCCGATCAAATTCACAATCCAGTGATAGTCGTTGGACCGAACCACCCAGGTGAAAAGCGCCATTCTCCCAGAGATTGGGGCCTGAAGCCGTCAAGTCCGATTGGAGTGTCGCGGATTGGAAGAGAAACCTGAAATCTAACCGAGATCTCAGAGGCACTTTTTGTTGGAAACAGTCTGGTTAAAATCCTGGTAGTTTTTGTGATTTTTCTTCTGTTTGCTGCTAGGCTGCGATGCGTCGGGTTGCAGTTGCGAGCAGGGCTGGAGGAGGGGGAGGAGGGGGGGGGGGTGGCGGAAGGGGGGTGCGGGTGGGGGTCTTGGGGGAAGGGGGGTGGGGGGTGGGGGAATGGGGGGGGCATGTTACCGTCGTTATGAAAGGCTTGCACGCACAGGAGCACATGTGTGCACACAGGCAAATGCTGGCAAAAAGCATCTGGAGAGCGACCATGTCCATCCCATGAGTGTAGCCTGCACGTGAATGGTATGTACAGTGGTACCAAAGAGTAGTAGAAGAGGGGCCTTGGGCCAAACGGTTGCACGGAGATCAACAAATCAAACACAGGGGAGGTCCCAAACCGGGGCACCTTATCCCGTGAGAACAGGTACCTTGTGGTAATGGTCCATTGTAGGTCCTGGATCTATTCCACACGATGATCCAATATGCCAATGGTGGGTGGAGTGTATCTGGAAGTCCCTAGTAGGATTGTCTTGTGGGTATAACCTGTAAAGCGGTCCGCAAGTAATCCCTTTTCTCTGCCTGTACGTGTATGGTATGTACAGTGGCAAGAAAAAAAGTAGAAGAGTAGAATTTGCTAGAAGGGCCTCTGTGACGAGGAAAGCACGCAAACGACCCGCTTGCTTCATAGTGGGGACCCAATGTATAGACAAATGGTATCATTGCAAGACGATACGCCAAGTCAGCTGCACTCGCTACATGGGTCGCTTCTTTTGTAAGTACCAGCTTCAATAATTATTTCTGCCGTGCGGTGGCTGCAGTTTGTTGGTTCATATTTTCTAGTAATTGAGCTGCAAATATGCAAAACACATGTTTTTTTTTTTAAATACAATTTTGCATAAAAACAATGCTGTCCTAATTCTCCCGTTCACTGTCAAGCATGCGCCAGAGATGACAAATTGCAAAAAAGCCAGGGGAAACACGTGTGACACAGCTTTCGCCTCCAGGTTTTTTAACAGCCTGTGACCTTCTTGTTGGGCTCGGTTCGTACGGGCATCAACTGCTTGGGAAACTAGACCATTGTAAGGGTTCCTGTTGCGGGAGCCATGGGCCATGACCTGACCACAAGGGTGTTTCAACAATGGCACTATCACCCCCTCTTATTCTGTTTACAGGGACAGCCAAAACGGGCTAAAAAAAATAGGGTTCCCCATGAGGGAACCTCTTCTTTAGGGGACCCCCCCCCACAAAAAAGCAAAAACAGAACAACATCTTCCTTTTGACCACAACACAAGGGGGTTCTCCTTAAAAAGACACACCTGCATCCCGGCCGAAAGCCCCACCTTGCTCTGCCCAGGCTTAAGATCTTCCAGCATCCTGCATGCCAGAGCAGGGTTCTGCGAACAAGTATGTCGAAACCAAACAAACATCAAGGGACACCAAAAGGAAAGCCACCGTTTTGGGGTTCCCTCTATTTTGACACATAAAATTTTGGGAGGACCCTGCCAAAAAAATATGGGGCATCGGGCCCTTTTTGGCTGAGTTAGCATGCCAGGATAGTCTCAAGGGGAAACCCAAATGGAAACCGACGCCCATTTTGGGGGTTCCCTCTATTTTGAGACAAACCCACAGGTGATGGTTCATGCATCTTGCCAAGATTCCGCCCCAAAGCTCTAAGATGGTTTCCACTACCCTCAAACCAATACTCCCAAGGACAATGGGGGTATGGGTATATTCCCTTGTGAAGCGGTTGCATATTTCATTTATGCTCTGGTGAAAAATCGGTCGCAAGCCTTTTGGAAGAAAAATGGCGCCCACCCCGCTGTTCAAGCCATGGCCCGTGCAGATTGCGACGGGCTACGAGTTGCGGAGACTTTTAGGGCAGGGTTAGACTGACTGTTCAAGCATGTAGAAAGCATGTAGAAAGCACGAGTGATTGGTCACACCCTCTTGGTGCTTGCTTCGAAAAGGAACTGGGTATGATTGACGTGAGCTCAGCTTCGAGGTGCTAAATTAACAAGTGTGAGAGCACGCGCCCTCACGCGCACAAGCTTGAGGGGACATCAGGCACGACCAATATTCATTGCCTTCACAAGTAGCAAGTGGTCGGGTACTAATCTGGGTCACATGATTGTTGAGACAACCGTTGGATTCCACAGAATCCACCACCACAAGGGGTATCCAGAGATGGCGGATGTTGATTGCTCACATGAAACCACCAGAATCCCCACGGGTTTTCCCGGCGATGACCTGTGAGGCGGTTCAAGAAGCGGCTGGCTTCCTTCTGGTTTCGCTTCAATACTATTCCCCGCAGGGAGGCCCCATTTTTGGGCACCCCCACATGTCCTACAGAATTGCCTCAAGGATCGGTGTCATGTACTGCTGAGGTTGTACCCCATGGCTCCCAAGCATATAGCCCATATACTAAATCTTCGCTTCCCAATGCTGTCCTAGTACGCTGGGGCATAGCATCACCCAAAAGAAAGTGTTCCCCATATTTGGCGAACCTTCAAACAGCACTTCACCACAAGGAAGATCAATTTTATCTGGCCCAAAAGATGATGTGTGAGATCCGCTTTTCGGGGGGGAAATGGGTTTGTCGTTTCTGCTGAGGCTACCCTTTTCAGGTTGCCTTTGCAAGGAAACTACCAGGGAAACCGCCCTTATTGTCCTTTTTGAGGTTGTTTCAAAAGGACGCCAAAGGGACATCTCTCATTTCATTCTTTGACACGGACTCAAACATAGGAACCTGGCGCAGGCGACCAAGGCGAGCGCCTGGCGAGGTCTCTGACAAAGTCCCCGGTGTCGTAGGCGACCAGCCGACGCGCGGGCCCGGAGCCCTTCGAAGGCGGGGCCCCTTCGGCCCCTTGGGGATCTCTTGCGACCGCGGCGGTGTGTCGCTTTGAGGGATAAGAGGAAACCGAAAGGAAAACCACAATTCTGGGGGGGATCCCCATATTTTGACACCTACCCACGTGGATTGACTTTTGGTTCTACCATGATTCAGAATTTTGTGGAAAGTGACTGCTATCTCTCTATTAAACTGGGTAGAACCACCTACAAGGGCCAATAAGGGTACGTGCATGGAACCTGCAGATACCATGGAACCTCATGTTTTGAGGAATCTCCTAAACCCTAAACACACAAACTTTCACTCTTCCAGGGTATGACATTTACCCCTGACTACAAACCAATGTATTTAGCATGGAGAACCGGGCTATTCAAAATATACCCTTAAATAGTGGGTGTTTGGAGTGGCAGGCTTTCCTCACAAAGTTACGTCTACTTCCCCAAGAGGAAAATCGAGAGGCCTTGACGTGCGCCCAACTTGGCAGCCGCTCACCTCCTTTGCTTGAAAAGAGTGGCATAGCTCGAAAAGGAAGCAACGACTCTTTGCGGGGAGGCCAATGTTTGCCTGTCCAACAAGGTGGATTTGACAAGGCCAACCCCTGCCCACTGGAGTCTGCGCGGAGGAAAATGCACCCATGATTGATGATGTGCTGCAAGGCAGGCCCTGTCTAGTAGGTCCGGTTCAGTTCAAGGCCTCCTGATCAACAAAGGGGGGAAGAGTGATTCTTTGGGGGGTCAACCCTAGGAAATCGAGGGACCCACAAAGTAATCCGTGGTCAAAAGCAGGATCCTAGTCCCTGGCAACATAACTTAACACAACCTACCAAGTCATAAGCCAGGGTTGCTCCCTAGAAGCCTGCCAAGCCAGTAACGCCTGATCGCCAGCTTTCCCTGTGGTTCTTTTCCTCAGTCTTGGGAAAGAAACCCTCAGGGATCCCTCATTCACGGGAACATACTGTGGATGGACGAAATCCTGCACCACCTGAGAATCCCGAAAATAATGATCCTTCTGTAAATACCAACAAACAATGGTTTCCTATGGTTTCAATTTGGTGCAGGATTTTGTCCATCCACAGTAGGAAACCCTGGAAGCCTAAGCTAGGTGGGCTGAAGACCCGGATGTTGCGGTCAGGCCCTGCCTCCGACACAGTGGTGAGGCCCCGATCAGCAGCCAGAGCATGGACCACCTGGGGACAACACATCCTGGGTCTTGCACCCAAATTTGCCAAATTCGGAGGGCTGGGAAAAAATAACAAAAATATCCCCTTTGGATGTTCCTTTGGGTGAATAAGAAATTAGTGGCTACTTAGCACCCAGCCAAGGATCCGATCGATTAATGCCTTCGCGGTCAAGACCCGAAGGCCGGAGTGTCGTCGGGGACACCGCTCTGGTTTTTCCGGGGGCTCCGTTTTGGATGGTGTTTAGAGGGAACCAAAAGAAACAGGCGTGTCTTCCGGGGTCCCCTAGTTTGCAAAAAGAAAAAGATTGTGGCCAGAAAGCAAACTGCTACATCGCGAAAGCAAAGCATCAATCCGTTCATTGTTGTAGTCGATTCCTTTGACATCACAAGTAAACCAACCTGCAGTGGCAGGTTGTTTCCAACCCCCTCCCCCCCCCCCCCGCTGGACTCAGTAGTCAAATAATCTATACAGGGCTGGGGGTTATTTGTTCCTTCTTGGAATCTTAGGGCTTTGCCAGAAAGTGCCGCTTGCCAGACTCAACTTGAAAATGAAATCAGCAAATCTACGTCGCAGATTCTTTTTGATGGGTATGGTCATTTACAGACCTCAAAGGACTGGCCAGCAAACGTTTCAGCTTCTGAGACCCTGGCTCAAAGTTAAAACGAGTGCAAAGTTTGTCAAACAAGAGGCATCTCGGCTGCTCAGGACTCCCATGGGTCGTCCTTCCACTTGAAGTCTTGACAGGGCTCCCTATTATGCTCCCTTCAACCATCACCCCAAGAGCTAAACCACCCAAAGGGGAAAGCACGGCAATTCTGCAAGAGAGGCATGCAAACACCTAGCCAAAGGCAAGGCAAATACCTCGCATCTCCGGTTGGGATGTCAGCCAGGGCCCCCGGCCACTCGCTGTATCTGCGTCAGCGATGGCGGGAACTCCAGACTTCCGCAGGTGCCCTAACACAATGCGAGGTGAGAGAGGGCCATTTCTGGGCAGGGCTTCTCTTGTGCGTGTTTCGACAGAACCGTATTTTAGATGAAACACGGTTTGCTTGTCGTGGGTACCTTGGTTTTGGACGTTCTGACACCGACCCACTTGGGTGTTTTGACACATACTCACTTGGGTGTTCAACCCACATAGGTCAGGCGTGTATTGTCAGGGTTCCCGATATATCGGCCTAAAGGGTGGTTTTAAACATCACCTTTTAACACATACCATGCTGCCAAACTCAAGTTGCGCCTGCAACTGCTGCAGCTGCGCATCGGTTTCCGCAACAAAGTTGTGGAGGTGGCAGACCTACCGCACGCGGCGTTTGTGGCTTGAAAGACTGGACCAGCCACCTTTGTCCAGTCCAAATGTCCACAGTTTTAAGGGTATGATGTCAGACCCAAACTAAGGGTATTTATCATAGAAAACCTGGCTTTTCACATATACTTGTAAAAGTTGGCGATTATTTGAGTAGCGAGTGGGGCACGAGGGAATGACTCGGAGGTCAACCCCGATGGCGTCGACCAGCTGGGAAGGGTTATTCTCTCACGTGTTCCCTTTGGTTTCGCAAAACAACCTGCGGGCTTTTCCTTTCACTATAAACCAACCTCCCAAAGAGTACCGACTCAAATCGGACATTCCATCCCACTCAACCTAAAACCCACCAAAGGGCCCTTTGTTGGAGAGACATGTTCCAAACAAGAAAATTCCTCCATGGGAGTGAGAAGGGTCCCTCCCCCTTTGGATGCATCGATTTGTTGGGAAACCTGCCTGTTTCTGTTGGTCGAAAGGGAAGCCTTTCTCGACACCATGTTCCTTCATCCCCTTCAGGGTTCCGGAAGGATACATCCCCAAACCACCTACTTTAACGAGGATTTGAATCCTCTAAAGCTGCCGCAGGTGGCTTCTTGACTGGCAAGTTGGCTGTTTCAGGGAAACTAAAATCAGAAACCCGGTGGGATCCGCCAATTTTTTCTTACACAGACCTAATAGGACTCGTAAAATGGTTGGTTCTCCTTTTGAGTTCCCTTTTTAAACCAGCCAACAAGGGGCATCAGTTATTCCAATGAACCCACAAGCGTTGTTGTTTTTTGAGGGTACCCCTTTGCAGGTTCCAAGCTGCGTCAATGAGTGGCTGCAGGCACAAACGCTGCGTGGCGAGTGGTTTTTCAGGGCAACCAAAAAGAACACCATTTTGGGGTGTGTACACCAAAAACCCTTTGTGGCTTCTGTTTTTTGAATTCCGGACGCCGAGAGAAACACCTTTTGTTAGTGTTTGGGATCCCTTTGCGCATCAGCCACTGGAGAGAACCAACCCTCTTTGAGAAGGACACCAAAAGGGACACAACTAGGTCCTCCAGTAGAGAGGTTAGAATAAGAGTACCCTTTTTGTCTGTAGTCTATTTCAGCAGGGGAACCCTCCCCCAAAAAAGGGGTGACAAAGGGCGCGACTGAAAGACCTAGACAAGAGGAAACGGGACACCTCTTCTGTTTGGGGTCGCTTGGAGCCACTGAGAATCCTCCGAGCGTCGCGCCAGCACGGTCTCCGAGCCGCTCGCGGCCAGGGCGGTGGTGGCGGATCGCTTCAGGGTCTGGCGCCGCGATCGATCCGACCCGAGGATTCCACGTGGATTTGACCCGAAAATGGCAGGGCTTTCCTGGGATTTATGGATTGGATTTGTGGATTCCTAAAATAGTGGATATATGGATGGAAGATTTCTGGGTGGGACATGTGTTCATTCATGGATTGGATTTATGGATTTATGTTTTAGCCTAAAATAGTTGATATATGGATTGAATGACATACATATGACCCAAAAATGATGGTGGGTCAAATCGGGGGTTGGGAATGAACCGTTTGGGATGCCTTGAAGAAAAGCACAAGGGATGGTTTATAGTAGCTTTTCGGGGGTATTTCCTCATTCCCAACTATGCAAAAGTAAGAGAACCCTTATGCCATCATTTTGTTGAAGGGCAAAGATGTAAGATGGTTCCAAACGCTGACCCAGACCAAGGGCACTAGACAACCCACCAAGCAGAAATGAACTTAGAGGACGGAATCCGCTGAAGAACTGCGAAATGATTCTCGATCAGGCACACAATTATTGGATGAGAGGAGCAAACTATTCAGCTCCTTACATTGCGTCTACTTTAAACGGGTGCCGATCATAGGAGAATACTGTAATCATTTAGTATATGGGTGTGTATCAACCTCCAACTGCGAACCTGCAAAGGCTGCAAAGGGACTCATTTTGCTGTAGAGTTCCTTGTGAACACGATTCCTCTTTTTTGTTGGGTGGGGCGGGGCCCACAAGCCCACCGCTAAAACACGACCTCTGCATTCCTCTACCCCTGTAAAAAAAAAAAACTCAACACCTAAAGGGAACCGGACGATTCGCTGGGAACCCCAAGCGTCAATGGCAAGTTCCTGGGCCCATCGACCATCCCTAACTCACCCGCGACGTCTTTCAGCCATGGCCTTGGGCGCAGCGACCTGAGCTTTGGCTTTGGCAGGTGGCTTGGAGCCCGGTTTGGGGGCGTCCGGGGTGGTGTCCACAAGGGATGACATCCCCAAGAGACCAAAAGTAGATGAGCCCTTGAAAGATGGCACAGTTCCAGGAGAACCAAAATGACCCCCTTGCCTTCCCACAAAAATCGGAGAAAGAGCCGTTGGATGCAGGAATGGGTGTTAACTGTTCGTGAAAGACAACTAGACCCATGTTTGCCTCCTTTACAGTGGAAACAAAAAGAGTCTGTTTCTGCAAGGCGGTCCGCGGTCGGAACAAGGTCAAACCATAGGTGATCTTTTGGAAACATAGATGGCCCTGGCAAATGGTTTATAAAACCAATCTAAACCCGTGCAACCCTTCTATTTCCAACCAAGCTAAGCTAAAAAGGACACCGTGGCTGTCCGGTTTCGACCCCGGCAAGTCACTAAGTCGTCCCAAGCCGAGGTGCCCGGGGAAGCCGCCAGAGCCCCAGTTCATCCGCCACCTCCTGGCAACGAAAGACGACCCCAAAACTCCCACAGACACCTGGGCTTTTGTCCATAAGCACGTGAAACACGGTGGTTTCGTCCAATGACCGGATATGTTTGTTTTGCTTTTGAGCCATGCTCAGGCAAGATCTAAAAAACATCGCGGTAGCCTGTCTGAATCCTAGCCGCCTTGTTACTTGGCCAGACTTTGTGCTGGGTAAGACTGAAAATGAAGAAAGCCCAAAAGGCAAACTGGCAACAAAGCAAAGATCCGAGAAATGTCTTGTTTGTCCCGCGCGGTTTGCGTCCACTTGCAGCCTCCAACTTTATGATCACCCCCCAACACCCCAAAGAAAGAAGTTGAAAGGAAGAGGTCATTCAGGTGGAAAACTTCAATGAGGATCCATTTGAGAGGTAACTTTCAAAATGCTCCGGGGGTGCTGTGGGTTTTGACCCTTTCTGGCCTCCACCAGCTTGCACTTCTCCTCCGGCGTCAAATCCGGAAACTCCTCGGGGCCTTCGCCACCCTCAACCGCCGCGTCGTCCTCACGAGGCGGTGTCTGGCACAGCGGCGTGGGAGAAAATTTGAGCCCCTTTCGGATGTTCGGGGAAACCAAAACATGCATCCCTTCAAACATGTAAGGCCATCCAAACGGACATCTGTCCCCCTAAACCATGCCGAAGATAGATGTTCTAAATCACCCAGCGAGGGAAATAGCCTCTCGCCAACTTCGCCAACAAACATAAAAGTACACACACACACACACCAATAGAAATGTAATCCTCCGACAGCAGTCTGTGAGTGCACCACACAGCTGCATAAGGCCACGGAATCAGCAAATTTGTTGGGTTGCCAAAAAGGAAATGCGAACGTATAAGTCCTCTGAGCTCGTCCGCCCGTGTGAACTGACTAGTGGATATTTTGACTGAACTCCGCATTGACTGTCAGTCTCTAGGAAAAGGTGAGCAACAGACTCTGTGGTGGACATTGGGAATCAATAACCATGAACCGATTGGAGATAGTTGGTCCCCATTGACAGGGTCCCAAATTGGGGAGTCTGGGGGAAAATAGAAAACCCGTGCCCGTTTTTTGATTTCCCTTTGGATGCGTTAAAAGTCAGGGGCTATTTCGCAAGTGGGTTCAGTCCTCAGACACCTTCACAAAGCGCTCGTCCGCATAGCTCATGGCCTCTCCACGAACCAGTTCCTGTCAGGGTTGCTCATATTGTCCCTGGTTGCCGTCGACATGGCAGGCAGTCGCACTGAAAAAGCCAAAGGACACCAACCCTATCAAAAATTTTGGGTCCGACAGGAAAACCAAAGGAAACCAAAGTAACTTGGGGTTCTGATCAGCTTTTGCCACGAGGAAATCCTGATTTCCCACAAGGCTGAACGGCAAATTCGGTCAAACCCAAGAGCAGCCAGACTAGGGGGAACTCTTCCCTAGTGAGCGCCTAGCACCTATTGACATGAGCGTCTTCCAAAATGTGTTTGCTTGCTTTTGTAACTGGTGTAACAGGGGGGTTGTGGTTGGAAGGCCTAAACTAACCTTAGCCATCTTGAGTGAAGGGAGAATGGGAGGACTCCCCTAAGCACCTAGACTGAATTTGAAGGAATGGTTTCATGCGAATCCTCTGCATCCCCGCTTCCTCCACATCCCCTCTAGTTCAATTGTGCAATTGAGATTACCAAACTCTACTTGGCGCTTCCCAGCCAAACGGTTCTTGAGACTTTCAGACTTTTAGACTGTTAAAGTGATAGAGGTTAGACTTTTAGACTTGGAGGCTGCATCACATATCCCACTAACGAACCACTGAGTCAAACAGGGGCCGTTGGGCTTTTGCTTTCAGACAGGGACAGCAACACCTGGTGCTCCACTCGCTAGGGCATGTTTTCCAGCTTGCTCACAAGAAGAACCCCAGGGCAAATGGGTCAAACCTTGTCCGTCCTGGCAACACCCCGTTCTGTGGGGTAATCCTAGAGCCCCCTCTGTCCTGGAGGTTTTCCAAGGCGCGCTGCCGGAAGTCGTCCTCCTGCTGGTCGTGCCGCACCAGGAACTCGTCGTCCCAGTCTTCCTGCAGGAAACATCCAGCAACCGGCTTTGCAAGGGGTCCTCCAAATCAGCCTCGTGTTGTTTATTGACTAGGTTCAGCTGGTACCCTTTAAAAAAAACCCTAGACCCCAAACACCAGGACACAAACTCAGGGCACAAACATGTCAAACCGCTTTGAGCCAACCACCTATGCCTTGTTCACAAGAAGTTCACTAAGAGGGTTGCTCCAAGACCTACACGGGGAAAAAAAATGGTCCCCGGGAACCTAGAGGAAACCTTCTGGCCAACTTTCAAGCGCATTTGCAGGTAGGTTTGGAGGTATGGATGCTGTACCACCCTTGTCAAGCTTGTAAGGCAGTATGCACGCCTTATGCAAGTGGTACATATCCTCCATACCTCCAAAATTCATGCTTGAAAATGAGTTTGAAACTTGTTCATTCCAACCACTGAATATCTGCACTCGTGTTTTGGGTTGGGGCACCCCTACCGCGCCCTGCGCTGTCAGCGGATTTCGGCATTTGCAGGTTTCTCTGTCGTGTAGAAGTGTAACATGCCGGTGCCAGAAGCCTATGTGCCAGAGTGGGCACTCATCTCCGGGCTGGCCTTTGTGATGCTGCGGCTGGCCAAGGCCGCCTGTGTGGCTGAGTGCTTGTGCCCATTCTGCTGATCGACATACTTTATCTGAACGCTCTGCGCGTCGTTTTCTGTCAGCACTTCCGGGGGGGCGGGGGGTTGGGGGGGGGGGGATAATTTACATCGCTTCACTGAGACGCCAGACGAGATTGCAGGCCGCCTCTCAAGACCGCGGGCCTCTTCCGTTTAGGGCACTGAGGCGATGTTTGCATCAGTTGGAAAATCTGCAGAGGTGACCATGTATCCTTTTCTGGCACCGGTGGCTTTTGAGATGCCGCTAGGCGCTGAATAGTCGCCTTGGACGGAACGCAGACCTTGGACTGGCTGTGGGACAGACTCAAAGCGGTTGCCTTGTGAGATCAAGAATTGATCCGCAAACAGGCTGAACACAGAAGCTTTCACGAAATATGGCCATGCATGGCTGTGGGGAGCAGGTCTGAGATGTTTTTGGCTTTGGAGCCAGTCATGGGCGATTGGCAGTGAACCACGGAAAAGTTTCAAAAGCAATTGAGCTGCCAGGATGTGCGAAAACCTGAGGAAAACTCCCTGACCAGGCCATTTCGAGTGACGTGTCCCAGGCTTTCTTGCCTTCCAATCCCTTCCAAATTGATGAAAGCGTGCATGCCGCCTCCGTTTTGAGCATGTGCAGGTTCCATAGTCTTGAGGCTTCCTTTTGACGCCCACGGCACGCTACAGGCGCCGCAACTATGTTTTGTTCACAAGAAAGTCGCGCACTGCTTTGACTGGCACCAACTGGCTGAGGTTGACTTACGTGACTAGTGGAGCGTCAAGCCACCTGGGGTGATAGTTTTAGAGGGAACCTCCGAATTTGGCACAGAAATCCAAGCACTAGTCCATAACCAGGGTGGGAACTGCATTTCCACAAAATCTCAAGAATTGGCATAGTGGAAACCAACCCCTAGGTGTTTGTTCACAAGTTGCATGTATAGCCCCCAACAAGTTGTTTGACCTCCAGTTTGCCTTGTGGCCCGCAGAAATGGTCGAGGTTGAAAGACAATCCGTTACCTTCGAGCTATTGTGGGCTCGCAAGCCACTTTGGGGTGTCTTTTAGCCGCTCGCCCCCACCCCCCCACCCCCGCGGTTTCCTGTTGGATTCCCTTTAAACCAACCCCAGAATACCCTCAAAAACGGCACACCCTTTTGCATGAGGTCCCCCCCCCATTTTGGCAGCCACCTTCCTCCTCTCGCTTCCGCATGGACTGGCCATCGCCGGTGAGGCTCAGCTTCTTCCGGGGCCCCGAGCCCCGGCGCCGGCGGGTGGCTTTTTTGGCCTCGTGTTTTTTTGGTCTGGGTACCCTTTTTCACCTTGGTTCAAGTGCAAATGAAGGACCCCCGGCCATTTCGGGGTCGTCCCATTTCAAGACATAATTTGGGTAGTTCCCACAACTGTATCCCTTTGAAGGACATGGATCCCTGTAAGTGGCAACTTGCAACCCCAACCAAAGAGAAACCAGCGGGAGTGTTTCAAGGTTGAAGCCATGGCTAAAACCAGCTGCATCGCACCATGGCCTTTGTGGTGAGCTCGATGGTCTTGACCCGGGCACGCTGGGCCAATGTCCCCTTCTCCTCTGCCTTTTCTTGCATGTACCTTGGTCAGACTTAGACTCCTACCCTGCAACAAGTTGAAGGACCGTTCGTTGCTTAAAGGGGAAATGAAGGAACCCTTTCATCTAAAACAAGTACCTTGATTTGCTGGTTGAAAGGCTAAATGAAGGACACCCCTTAACAAAAACAACAACCATGTTGTTGTGCTGGCTGAAAGCGGAAAAGGAGCAACTCTTGGGCAAAACAAAAACCGAGTTCAGTCAAGGGCGCTTGGCCATATCCTCCTCGTTGAGGGCAGAGAAAAACTTCTTCCTGGGCGAAGGACTCGGATGAAGATGGAACACCAGAAGCAATCAGTCAAGAAGTCCCCCTTTTGAGAGGTGCCCCTTTGTTGGTTTCGGGGGGGAGGGGAATTTCCATCCCCCCCCCCCCAAACACGGAAGTGCACAATCACCTTTTGCAAAGCTAGGCGTCCACTTCTTCCAGGAGATGTACCCGCTCTCCGGATCTCTGTCCATGATATGGAACACCTCCGAGGGTTGGATGCCTTTCAGCCAGCCCCTGCCCCCAGGAAAAAACAAAAAACAAAAAACAAACAAAGGGAGGTTGTCCAAGATACGAAAAAGGGTGTCTGGAAATCCAACAATATGTCATTCCTGTAGGCTTCGACTTCTTTAGCACCCCCGATTCATAAACAGTTTGGTCGCTTGAATGGAGACGGTAGAAACTCGACGCCCGGTGAAGGAAAACCACCAGGTTGCTAAAACCGTTTGGCGGCTGGAACAAACCGGGTAACCTTAACCGACAAACAAGTTTGACGCCCAAATAAGACACCAAAAGGAGGCTTCCCCCTAAAACAAGTTCGCCGTGGCTTCCCACGCGCTACACGCTGCGCACTACACGCTGCCGTCCTCCGAGCGCTTGAAGCCGGTGAGCTGCTCCAGGTCGATGTGCAGCATCACGATGCCGCTGTCCCACACCACGCGGCTCACCTTGCCGCTGCGGTTGCCTCGGGCCAAAAAAGAGCGGCCCGGGGGGTGGAGATGCATGGTACATACCTCTGGTGTGAGCCCATGGATTTGTGGAGTTCTGGGAGACATGTATGTATGTATATACAAATATATGTGTGATAACATAATTATCGTTCTGTCTATGTTGCCGAGTACAGTATGTATACATGTGAGGACAGTACAACGCACATACAACATACAATTAATGGAATGTCTGCAGCTCAAAGGGCAAAGAAAGACATAGTTGCTCTAGTAATATGGAACACACATAATGGATATATGAACAACAACATAAACGTGAATCAATGTGGAAAAACATGAAGAAAAAAAACACTAAATACATGAATAAACAAGCATACATAGATAACTGAATGGATGGATGGATGGATGGATGGATGGATGGATGGATGACTGACTCACTGACTCACCGACTCACTGACTCACTGACTCACTGACTCACGGACTCACTGACTCACTGACTCACTGACTCACTGACTCACTGACTCACTGACTCACTGACTTACTGACTGACTCACTGACTCACTGACTCACTGACTGACTCACTGACTCACTGACTCACTGACTCATTGACTCACTGACTGACTGTGAATGAATGAATGAATGAATGAATGAATGAATGAATGAATGAATGAATGAATGAATGAATGAATGAATGAATGAATGAATGAATGAATGAATGAATTAATGAATGAATGAATGAATGAATGAATGAATGAATGAAATGAAATGAAATGAAATGAAATGAAATGAAATGAAATGAAATGAAATGAAATGAAATGAAATGAAATGAAATGAATAAATGAATGAATGAATGAATGAATGAATGAACGAATGAATGAATGAATGCATGAATGAATGAATGGATGAACGAATGAACGAATGAATGAATGAATGCATGCATGCATGAATGCATGAATGAATGAATGAATGAATGAATGAATGAATGAATGAATGAATGAATGAATGCATGAATGCATGAATGCATGAATGCATGAATGCATATGCATGAATGCATGAATGCATGAATGCATGAATGCATGAATGCATGAATGCATGAATGCATGAATGCATGAATGCATGAATGCATGCATGCATGCATGCATGCATGCATGCATGAATGAATGAATGAATGAGTGAATGAATGAATGAATGAATGAGTGAATGAATGAATGAATGAATGAATGAATGAATGAATGAATGAATGAATGAATGAATGAATGAATAAATGAATGAATGAATGAATGAATGAATGAATGAATGAATGAATGAAAGAACACACAAACGAACAAGCAAATAAATGAGTGAGTGAATTTATAAATGAATGAACAAAGGAAGGAATAAGTGAACATGTCACAAAAAGCAAAACAAATAATATACACATAGATGAACAACAAAGAAAGAATGCTTTTTGTGCCCCGTCGCCATCGAACCACTTGAAGGCGCGCTTCAGGGACCCGAACCTCGCGATCAGCAAGTAGGCGAGGGCGTCCTTGCCTGCCAGGTCCTCGGTGAGGAAGTGGCCAACCGATCTTCGGTTGTCAAAAGCAATGGGATCCCATTTTGGGGTAGGTGCGCCACCCACTTTAGTCGGGATTTTAGTGGGGATTGGGATGTTCACTGGGGGTACGGGATTTTGACCCATGGCCATGTGGACCGCTGGTTATACTGCTGATTCCCATGGGTTGCGATGTTTGGGACAACTGGAAACTATATGTCGCAAAGTCCCGAAGCGCTTGGCTATGTGCGGCACAAGGCAAAACTACCCCCAAACCACCCCCAGGGGAAAGAGGGGGTAGAACAATAACGTATGTAAAGTGGTATTCACAGGGGGCACCTCGGCTCAATTGGCATTATCAAGCTGCCACAATGGACCCATTTGCTCAAATGGACCCCAGACCTCCCAGAAAACAAGTTCCGCTTTAAGTTGTCTTTTTGAAACATGAAGGAATTGGCGCCTCAGCGAAAACCATGTATGTCTGCAAGGTTGCTGTGGCAAAGCAGCCATTTCCAGTGGAGGGGCTTCGGCTCCTTTGAGGGTGCCGACTTGGACACACAAGAGGTGATGGTTAAAGCCTCCCAAAAGAGAAACATACGCAACATCCCGCTCCCCTGCCCCACCTACTTCCTCCATCCCTTTTTCTGGGTGAACCCGGGCCTCACCCCACCCCATCCCCCCCCCCCCCCGCCCCATCTGTGAGACTTCTTCCGAGGTGGGCGCCAGTTGCTTGAGGTCCGAGTGCAGCTCCTCGTGCAGCGCCACCGCGTGCAGCTCCTCCTCCGTGAGCTCCGAGAGCTCCACGCCGCCGCCGTCGCCGCCGTCGGCGCCGCCGCCGGCGCCGAAGGCGCCGAGGGCGCCGACGCTGCGCAGGGCCTGCTGAAGGGCCTGCTGCAGCGGGAGGAACCCGCCGATGGGTCGAAACAGGTGGGTCCCCGCATTGTTTTTGTGGAAAAAGCAAAAGACACTTGGATTTGATAGTTACAAAATAATAAAAACAAAGAAAATAGAAAAGTGGGGGTGGGAGACAATGAATTGGTGGTTGGATGGGTTGGGATTGGTGGATTTAGATTTCTTGCAACAATCAGCTTCCCTCCCTGGTCAAACTTGGCCGAAAAGTGGTCTCCAAACTGGAGGGCATCAACTCCCAACCAGTCCAACCCACCAATTAGATACCTGCATCTGCCATTGGCCCAACTTTAAGTTAAAGCGAAAGAAGTTTGTTTTTATGTACGGCTTTAGGTTAAAGTTGTAAAGCAAACTTCAACTTGGGCTGTCCCCCCCTCCCACGTCCCAACCCAAGCCTCGTCACAAATGTCGTTTCAACAATCAGACCCATTTCGGTCCCCCTGTGGATTGGGAAACCAAAAGTTGAGCTTGTTTGAAACAGTGGTGATTTGTACAGGTGAGCGAAAGGAGGTTGTTGAAATACGCTGGTGGTGCAAATGCAGGGCGTTTCTCCCAAACAGCTGCAAGCTTCGTGGTCTTTGCCCAAATAGGCTCCGGAGTGGTTCGGAACGCTTTTGGGCCCAAGGGGTTTCGGAACGGTGCAAAGGGGGTTGCCGTTGGGGATACCACGGATTCAAATAACATTGCTCAGGTGGCATCCCCAACAGCCCCGGAACCCGCTTGGAATCCTCCGGAACAAAACTGGCATGGGCTGGTAGGAGCAGTGTTACGAGAACCCCCAGGTTTCAGGTGGACCAAAAGGAGTTTGTTCAACAGGGATCCTCACATTATTATTATACACCTGAACATTGCGTTATAAATGGATTTATTTTGGTGGAAAACGCCATGTTTCAATTGGGCAAAATGTATCTTTTAAGGAGCCCTGTTCAAACAACTTGGCGTTTAAAATCCCAGGTGTTGTTGAAATGAGGGGTTGAATCACCTTGGCCGCACACCCGCCTCAGACACCTGCCCGGACTCCTCCAGAAAGGTCCGCGTCGTGGTGCGAGGCTTCAAAAGCTCTTCCTCATCCCCCAGGAGGTTGCCTTCCTCACCACTGTCGCTGGCGACATCTTCGTCGTGAGCCGTCCTTCGTGGGAAATAGGTGCGTGCTATTTGGGTTAAAGAGACAAGAAAGGACAACTCCGTTTTTGGGGTTCCCCTGTTTTGACACACTCCCAAATGACCAAATAGTATGTCATACCAAAGTGGGAGTCCCATTCCTTATTGCTACTTTGTCACTTTGGGGTTTCCTCTAAACCCCCATTTCACACAACCATGCAATAAGCCCAACCCTATGCGCTATTCAGGCTATTGGCGGGCAGGATTGATCTGCGTTTACCCACCATGTTTGAGGAGATTCCCTACTAACCCGAATAACTTTCTGCGGGTGGGAAGACACACAGGTTCCCCAAAAGCTATAGGTTGAGGATCCAGCCAAAAGCAGCTAAGAATCTCTGGGCTGCCAGATTCCTCAGCCGTGGTTGGTACGCTTGACCTTCGGCCTGACTGGTCACCAGTCTCGTCCGGCTGAGTTGCTTCCGAAGGATGTTCTTCGCTTGCACCCTTGGCGTCTGGAACGTCAGGTCTTGCAACTTGGCCGGCATCGGCAGTCCCGTCCTCTTTCTCCGAGATGACCTCACCTTCGCCTTGAGTCTTACCATCACTCTGCCCCTCTGGCACTTCTGGAGACGGCAAAGCCGCTTCGAGCCGCGCCGTCGGCTCGCTCCTCACCTGCGGCTGGCCGAGGCTGAAGTCTGAACTGCACCCTTCCAGGACTACACAGTGGCTGGTGCTTGGATTCTCTCTGAACAACATCCCTTTTACTACATATGATACACACGTATCGAAGTAGAATATGGACCCACCGCCCCTCCCTCTCCCCGCCCTCCCAAAAAAAAAAGCGTGGGTCTGGCCCCACAGCTGCCACGTTTGCCAGAGTGACCAAAGAAAAACAACAAACCCAAAGCTGCCCCTTTTAAGCCTTGCCCCTTGGCCAAATCGGCGCGCGACATCGGCGATTTCGCCGCCTCTTCGGGCCGCACGTCCAACACCTCCGGAGCTTCGAAGCTCTGCGGGACCTCACGGGAGCGGTCCTGGCAGAATTCGCCGGAGGTCCGGAAGGAACTGGCTGCTGGATGCCCGAAGGCCCGGTGGCCGCAAGGAAACCATCAGATCAGAAACCCAGACCATGTTCACTTTCAGGGAACCAGAGGAAAAACCCTCCAGATTCATCAAGGCGTCGCTTCATCAAGGCGTCGCTTCACCCCCCTTGAGCAGCAGGCCTTCCCACTGAGAGGTTCCTTGGTATCATAGGTCAAACTATCCTTCTCTCAACCGGCCTGGAAATGATCCTTTTGTTCGAATGGCTGGACATGTGGAAATAAATATTGTCTGAGTAGGAAATGATCCTTTTTGTTTGCGCGCTTGGAAATGATGTTCTTGTTGCTTGCGGAGGGAGGGGGGCCACCGTGGTTCAAGGATTCACGAACACAAGTGTACTGAACCCTGTTTGGTTTACAAGTAGGTGGCCCCATGTTGAAGTCCTCACTTTCCCCTGGAACACCCCTCATGGTCAGCAAAGTGAGCCCCAGCCCTGTCTGGGAAACCCGCTACGGCCGCCCTTCCAATACATGATTTCCCCTGAACCGACACCCCCAAAAATCAGCACACCCCCAAAATGGGTTTGCTGTTTCCTTTCACATATCCAAATACATGAAGCCTGCCTTTGTCTTTTGACCACTGCACCTTGGTTGGCCTCCCCTTTGATCCATCCGCTCCTTCGAAGGCCTCCTGGACGTCGGACCTCGGCTCGGCTCTCCGGGCGCTCAAAGGGCTGGGCCCCTATGAAAAGCCATGTGACTTAAGGGGCTGTCAAACTAAAAAGGTAGGTTTAGCTCCTGAGGAGTGAACAAACACTCGGTTCAATGCCTGTTAAACAAAAAACAAGAAAAAACGGAAACCACAACTCGTGGTTTTCTTTCTGGTTACACCCCACAACTTCTAGTTGGCATCTTGAATCTCCTTCAAAACCCATTCAAAAAGGGGTTTCCTAAACTTCCTCAAAAGCAACGCCTAAAACCCTCCGATTGTCTGCTTCCATGGTTGAAGGGTCCAGCAGGGCTTCTTGCATGCTTCAGACATCACACCAACAGGTCATTTATACATTTTGGCTATATTCTTAGGGGACGCTTTGGTGGACAAGGTGGGGGTTCATGTCCACCAACACTTGTGAGTGGCTCCCAATTAAAGTTCATAGCTTGAATATAACACTCAAAAAGCGATGTTTAAATCACCCAATGGAAAGGGCCCCTGCCAAAGTGAGTGGCCCATGTCGAAAAGGGAAACCCAATGGTGATGGACTTCCACCATGGGAAAAACGAGGCGTCCTTTTTTGTTGGTAGTTGAAATGTTCAACAGGGACACTCTACCGTCTGGGCAAAAAAAAATGGCAAACCTGCCGGTTTCCTTCATCAGGCGTCCCCATTCTTCCCCCTTGCAGCCCGCTTAAACATCACCATGTGGGAATGCCACTTGTAGATGAGTTTCCTCTTGTTAAGGTCCACATGGAAAGGTTGTCGAAATTAGATTCCCTTTTCGGGTCCAAGCCGAGTGGCGCGAGCCTCCAGCTGAAGCAGGCAGACTCACCTGGCTGCATGCCCCCCCTGGTGCAAGGGGAAATCTACTAAGGAAAGCAAAGCAAAGCATGGTTGAAAGGAAACCCAAGGAAGCCATGTTGCTTGATCTTGCTTGTGGGTGGTACCCCGTTTTGGACCCGCATGTGGTTGGACACACTCCTGGTTTGTGTGGTTGAAACTTGGGCGGCCCTAGCAATAGACTGCCAGATAATTATCGCCAGATGGCACAAGTCTCCTCCATGTTGGGTTCATCCGTACCGAAGTACAGGGGTCTTAAAAGATCATCGTTTACCCTGGACAGAGGAAAACGAGCTCCCCCTCCCAAATGAACCCTTGGACCCATCCGCTCCTTCGAAGGCCTCCTGGACGTCGGACCTTGGCTCAGCTTTCCGGGCGCTCGGGGTTCGGAAGAACAAGGCAGGTGAAAGACTTGGGCCAGATTCAGACGCGAACCCCCAACTCGTGTTTTTGCCAACGCTGTTCGGAACTTAATCGGTTGGGGGGGGGGGGGGGGCAATCTTCCAAGCAAGTCTTATTTTTCTGCCACACTTAGCAGGCAGCAGAATGCCAGTTGCCTGATGGTGCTTGGACTGCCCAGACATCTACACATAGAACTTAATCTTATGGCTGGTCATTCATCCTTGATGAGGAAACAAGCCTCACGAGGGGTGGGTCTTGGCGAATTGCTCACAAGACCTGGTTGCCACCCTTTAACCACCAAACCACCGGGCTCCAAACCTCCAACTAGGGAAAAGCTGATAATGAGCTCTGTTTGAGCAGAGGTGCATTCCTTTTGGGGCAGCCCAAAACGTCCACTTTCATGAGTATTGAGTATTGGAAAGAGGAACCCGCAGAACTGTTTGATTACCCTTTTTGGAAGGGTTTTGAATGAGGATGAGAAAAATATAAATTGTGGCTGTAACCAACCGGAAAACAAATAAAACAAGACTATGACCCCCGGGAGTCGGGAGGCTCAGCTTCAGGAGCCCAAAAGGTGACGTTCCGCACCACCAAGAGGAAAAGAGCACTGAAATGCCTTCAGAAATATCTAAGCAAATACATATGGTACAAGCTTTCGCCGGCAAACTCCTGGTTCAAACCGGATGGCAATGAAGGGCCTCGCATGTGTGCAAATCTCCGCAGCAAATCCTTGCACAGCCACTTGCGATCACTCAAATGCCAGGGACTTCAGCCATCATCTGCGGTTGAGGGAAAGGGTAGGGAAGCCCAATGGTGACGGATTTCTACCATGTATAGAAAACCGAGGCTTCTTTTTTTGTTGGCACCTGTACCAAAAAGAAGAGGGGCGGGAGGTCTGGGCTCGACACGAAAGACAAACCAGCAGGACGAAGGGGACTGCAATTCGGGGTTTGGTTTACTTTGGACCCTGCCCCCAAACGCACAGTCACCGCAACTTCGGAAGACCATTGAAGTCTTGGATCCAAATGCTCGTCCACCGCTAGTGGCAGTTGAAGCCCACATAAGTACGAGCGACGCGAGCCAGCTCCAGCCGAAGCAGGCGGAGTCACCTGGCACGGCAAAACGGGCGCGGGAGTCATCGGGCTCGAGACCCCAGGTTGTACATGCTTAGCCTTCTGCCAAGGGAAAGTGTCGAACACCTACAAAAACGGCACCCTCTCGCCACAGTCCGTTTCTTTGGGGTCGGCCTAGTTTTGGTTGGTTGCTTTTGAGAGGACCAACGCGAAACCAACATGGAGAGGTTGGTTCCCGGGAATGTGGCTGAACCGCGGAACCATCCAAATGACCCTCTCGATGCCGTGCTTTAAGTGTCCCGAAGACGGGGGTCGCTGTTGTGAGAAATGCCAAGTAGTTGAGTCGGACCGGCCCTTCCAGAGCTGAGCAACGCCTCTGCCGCCACTTCACCGTTCATCTCAGACCCGCAGCAAACCCGCGCACTTGCCTGATCACAATCAAGAGAAAGGGCCCAGTATCCCCCACAGCCACCCTACCCCTCCGGAATTTTCGCCTGCCGCTCCAAACCTCCCCACTCCTTCAAGGCTGTGTCCCGCCTCCGGAACATCTGCACCCAACTCCTGACAGACCAAGTGGAAGCCACCAGTCGCATAGTACCCCTCCCTTCCCAGAAACGGATTTCCGATGGTCCCCCAATCCCAACGGCATAGGGCCTGCAGCCCTTTTAGGGTTTATCAGAGGGCATGCTGCATCCTTCAGACATCACCGCAATAGAAACTCAGCTCAACTGGGCCAAATTTTCGAGATATAAAAAAAGGGAAACAGAGCCAAACAGCTGAAATGGGCGATCAACACCAACCAAACTGGGAAATCGAGCCGCTCCGACTTCGACTGCGATCCTTGAAGAGCTCCACGGCGAGCTCCTCTTTCCCATCGCCGCCTGCCAAGCTGCCGCTCGCTGTCTGATGTTTGACCATTTGGACTCAACCCCCCAGTTGGGTGTCAAGATAAGGGAACCCCGAGCAAAAGGCGGTGTCCTTCTGGCTTCCCCTTTGGACCACCCCCCAAAAAGGGGGTCAATAAAACCCGACCCCCAGAAGTTTATCAGAGGTTTCCGTTGGAGGCAACAAATCCCACAGGACTTGGTCCAGTCCGAGCATGACCACGTATCGCACCCCCTTAGCTGGTCTTCCCCGAACAACTCGGGGAAATACAAGAAGCAATTCGGGGCACCCCAGATATCGCAAGCCCATCCGGCAAAGCAAGAGGGTGGAACTGCACCCGGAATGCCTGGGGCCGAAATCCCCTTCCAAACTCATTTTGAGCGTACCCAAAACCAATGTTCGAAACCCCACGTTCAAACACACCAGGCATGACTTGGGCTTCCGGTTTGGACATAATAATTTAACCCGATCTGTTGTTTGGTTTCCCTTTGTGAGGCAATGTTCAAGGGACAAGGCAAAACATGCCAAAACATAACCATTTTGGGGGTCCCCTTCATTCCGCACGTTCGGATCCATCGCCGGCCTGCGCTGGATGCCACACTCCCTCTCCGGGAGCCACTTCCGCTGGGCGGCAGGCCTCGCATCTGAGGAACCAGAAACCAGCTACGGGAATGTCTACGGGACATTGGCCAAGCACCCACCCAAAACCAGGATGTAGAATTTCCTCCTGATTCCCTTGAAGTGGGGGTTGCCTTGAAGGGAATATAAGGGGCTAAACAAGCAAATCCATTCTTATCCCATGATCATGTAGCAATTTGGCTCAATAACTAGTACCAACCGCTTGCTAAACAGTGCATGGGTGGCCACAAGGGTGGCCTGCTTGTCACAGAGCAGCATGGCCCACAGAAGATCCCCAACTGCGCTGTTTGCCCCACGCCATTGGCAGCAGCCAGCAGAACGATGCAGGCGACATGCTGGACAGTAGCAATATGGTCCTTTCAGGATTCGGGCCCAAGTGTGATTTGAGTATTTAAACCCGACATACAACTTTAAGAGACCTCTCACCAGTGCTGGGCAAATTCAAAGAACCCCTCAAGACAGCAAACATGGTTTGGCGAGGGCCAAACCATTGACAATCCTCGGAAGTGCACTTCCATGTGTTTCTCGCTTTAAGCCTGTGAAAAAAATGTGCGAGCCAAAAACGGGATCCAGTGGGCATGGGAACGAAGGGTACCCTTTTTGGTTAGTCGCTCTTAAAGGGGTTCACCCCCTCTCCCAAAACAAAAACAAAAGGAAATGCACCACTGCAGATCTGGGGGAAGATTCCTCTGCAGAGCTCAGTCAGCAGAACCCCAGAGCTACTTGTTGTGGAGAAGGTGGCACTGGTAAATGCATAGGACCCCACTGAAACCAGTCGAATCCATCTATGTTCAGCCAAAGAAGGACCCCTATGGCGGGCAGATGTGCGTCCGTTTCGCGGAAAACAAGTTCTTTGCGGGATACCAAAGTGGCTGATTCCCATCCACTTGGCTATCTTATCACATAGGGTGACTCCTTTGGTATCACAGAAAGTGGCGAACAAAACAAATATCCAGGAAGAAACACCAACCCAAATACTGGCCTGAGAAGGGCATGGAACCCCAAAGACCACGATTTGCGGAGGAATATCCTTTTGGGGCATGGAACCCTTTTAGTGCTAATCTGTGGCAAGAAACCGCTCAACCTGCAAAATATGGCCATGGGTCAAAATCCCCAGTGAACATCCCCGTCCCCACTAAAATAGGCTAAAATGGGTGGTGCACCTGCCCCAAAATGGGATACCACTAGTTTTGACAACCACAGCCATATACTCAAAACCTCGAAGCCGCAAGCTCGAGCTGGGCCCTGCGACATCTGCTGGGGCGCCGAGTGCGCTCCGGGCGCCTCGGGATTGGCTGGCCCCGAGCATTGCTTCTGTGCAACCTGTCTCAAGTCCTGAGATTTGGCGTGACATTGTGGTACTTGTTGGTAACTTTGGAAAGTTCCAGGTTTTTCACTGCTCCAACAATGCGCAAAAAGCTCGAGTTTCCCATGTATCCATGTCGGTTGATTCAGGGTCTGTTGTTTGTTTGGAAACTCGAGGTTCCTTTGGTGTTCTCCATTATAGCAAGCCCAATGCGGATAGTGGAAACCATCTAAGATATTAGGGGGGAAGTGCTACAAGCGCTGCCAACTTTGAGGGTACCTTAAAACCAAGCCCAATCAAAAGATTGAACAACCATTGGAACCGATTCACGCAGCAAACGCCGCACACGTCAGCGCACCAAGCCCGGCACGGATCTCCCCGGTCTTCGCCGAGCAAATGAGAGGCATCCGTGTCCTCCGCACCAAGGCTTGCGCGCAAGTCAGCAGAGACGTCTGAGAATCGACGTTGGGTTCTGCTACCCCCAAAAAAAACTGTAGGCTCCTGACCCTGACTTGCTGCCCCTAAGCCAACTAGGTGAGAACGGGATACCCGCTGTATTAAAGGTGGCTTTATTGTATCCCATTGAGCACCTCAAAATAGTGGCTTCAGGGGCGGCAAAGGCAAGCACAGGAGGAGTCAAGACTCTAAATCTGTAATGAGTCAATAGGGACCCAAATACACTGCTGTCTGAAATCCGTACTATGAAGCTGGCGATGATCACCCCGAATTCAACCCCAGAACAACGAGTTCTGACTGAGGATCGTCCTGCAACTGCTTCTGGAAGAATTGATTCCACCTCGGCCAAAAGCGCGTTCAGCAGCCCTCAAACCGCGCACACGCAAGCAGACACACACAGACACAAAAGGAACACTGCAATCAAGCCGTGTGCTCAGTAGTATGAGAGGCCCGTGCAATGTTGCTACGCAGCAAATCAGAATGACACTTGGATAGCGTCAAGAAGTAGCTAGTTGGTCCTCTTCAAATGCGTGAATTCTCCGAAAATCGGGGTTCCTGGCTGAGGAAACACCAAACGGGGTCTCTGAACTCATTCTCATCTGGGGCATGGTGGTGAAGCAAAGAAGGAGGAAACTCACAGATCATGGAAAGAGTGATTTTCCACAACCATGCATCTGGGTAAATCCACAACCATTCGTGGGCATCACTACATTATTAGAATCTACGTGGTGCGTTTTGCCCGCTAGCCAATTTAAGGGCTGTTCCCCCAAAAGAACTATTAGTCGTTCTCCTTGATATGGGAATAACCCTATCAAACATTCCCTAGAAGGACGTGGCGACCCTGTTTTCGCGACTCCACCACCTGCTTTTGACTCTCTACCTCTTGGTTTGAGCTCCAAAACAAGGTTGCAGGGGGGAGGGGGTACCGCTCTCTCGCTCTGTCCCTCTCTCTCTCTCCCCCTCCAACTCGGGGCAGCGACTCGTCCAAGCGCACCTCGCCCTTCGCACGCCCGTTGAGGCAGTCGATCATTTTGAACACCTGCGCAACTCCGAATCCAAGACCTCCAAAAAGACATTCCTGCCGATGGCTTGGCGCACAGACGGCTGGGAAGAGTTGCCTTCTGCGATACTGAAGTGGTTCCAATCCAACCATAATATCTTTGTCACTTGGGGGGTTCCCTTGGCCACAGGCCTGGTGTGTAAAGACGGGACTCCGGCGCCGACGTCCAGCTCGTTTCGTGAGTCTTGAGTTGCCAGTCCCCAAGGGCCTCGAACGGGAACCTTCATCGGCACGCAAACCGTTTTGCCAACCGCTTGATATTGCCGAATTGCGGGCTCCCTTCGGAGGGATGTTCTTCGCAAGCTCAAAGCAAAGGGCGATTTCCCCGACTTAAACCCAGTGTTTTTGTGTTTGCTTTTTCTCCCGGTTGGAAACCAATCAACGAGTATCACCCTTGCATCATGCTAAAGGCCGCTAGGGGTATGTAAAGGGTATGTGCAATCACCCCAAGAGAGGAAGCTAGAAGCGGACCGACCATTTGCATGGGTACTGGATGTGTCCTTTTCTTTGAAGGTACCCTTTTGCTGTTAATCTCTCGCCTGCTTCGAAGGGAGGCCGCACAGCTCCTGGCGGGCGCCGGCATCCATCGATCGATCCACACGGTGCGGTAGATCCATGTTTGACGACCCCGTCGCAGACTGAAGCCCAGGGGTTCTCCTTTTGAAACACCCTGGGTTTAAGTCTACCTTGGGGTAATCAAAAACAAAGAACCCTGCTTTCACAGAGTTCATCGCCTTCAGAAAGTTGCCGTTTTGGTTTGGCGAACTGCCGTAGAATTTCCTCCTGGTTTCTACGAGTAGCTGGCAATGCTCCAACTAGAGGGACCCAACAAATGGTGGCTTTCCTTTTGGTTTCCCAATAAACCAAACTTTAACAGGGTGCCCTAAAAAGCAGACACCCCCTTATTCCCCAAATAACCACATCCCCCAATGTCTTGCTGTTCAATCGCTTGAGCGTTTCTGGATCCCGTCCTGGGAAAACCACAGGGGTATGCAGGGATCATTCCCAGTAGGTACCCAGTTCCTATGCCTTTGTTCCCTTGAAAAGCAAAAGACATGTCTTTTCCTCAAGTTTGCCATGATTCAGGGATCCTACAACCACAACCCCACTGCTGTTCAGCCCCTGGCCCAACTGAAACGGCCTTGTTTGGGGGCTAGCCCCTGGATTCGGCCCCCTGTTTGGTTGGTTTTTCGGGTGGCCTTTTTGAAATGGGCTTCCCCGCTTTCCCACAACTCGCAAAGGAGTCATTCTTCTGCAGATTGTAGTGTAAATTCCAAAACCTGAATTCAGGGATCCCCAAGCAAAGGATATTTATCATGGTGAGCCGGTTCTACCCCCACGTGAGCCCGCTGTCAAATAGGCAGATGTTTCCCCGGAATGGTCAATGGTCTTTACTAAGCAAATGATGTCCTCCCTTGGGTGCTTCGGCCCGCGGCGAGCAGCTTGTTTGTCCATGAGCGGGGCACCCGGGGTTGGTCCTTGTATGACCATGGAAGATTCAGCGGACCGACTGGTGAATGTTGGAAACGAAGGTGATTATAAGGGTCCAATGAGGACCAAGGGATATGGATATGACCTTCCCATGGCTCTGTGAGAAGGCTCTGTCGAGCAAACCTTTCGCAGGTTCCATGGACATTCAGCAGCTTGAACAGCATGTGAGACAGGTCGAAACCAACAATACCATGTTTGGGGCTTAGGGTTTAGGGCTTTGCGCTGAGGAATCTGGGTTTGCAGTTCAAAGCTCTGGGTTTAGGCAGTTGCGGTTTTGGTTTGGCTTAGGCAGGCTTTGGGGTAGAAATATCTCGGCCCCCCACCTAATTATGTCACAGACTGTGGGTGTGGCCCAAAGAAAGCAGCGCCTGCGGCCCACAAGGGCGACTGGACCCGATACCAAGTCTCCAGCGGCACTCTTGTGTTTGGTCGCCCTTTAAAATCCCACCCGGTGTTTAGTTCTTGCGAAACATGGGAGCATGGCGGAAACAGCCGCGTAGTTTTGATGAGAAGTTTGGGCTGTCCATGTCCTGCCCAGACCATCAGTAGACTACCTCTTGGGTGTTGCCTTGTGCTGTCCTGCAAGCATTTGTGGTATTGGACTGCCTGGCAGCTTTCCCAACCAAAGTCACGTACATGTTGATACATGTTTAGCCTACATCCCAAATTGGAGGGTTGCCAACCAAAGTTGATACATACAGGGTCAGGGTCAGGAGAAAACAAATGTCATCACCTCTTGGTGTCACTTAGCGGAAATGAAACCTTATGGGCTGACAAAAAACAGGCCGAGATGTTGCCAAAACTCCTCCCACTGGACATCCCATCCCTCCTTCAACTGCTAGCCCCAGCCTGCAAGTCGATGTGCAGCGTCGAAAGGGCCGAGTCCCAGCGAGAGCGAGTCACCTCGCTTGCAAGTTACAAGGTGAAGGAGCCACAGAATCAAAAGATGAGGCGAATGGTAACAAGCCCCTGGTTGATGAATGGAGGGCCAGGATTTTGTTCAACAAAAATTGGCCCTAGACCAAAAATCAAATGCACCCATTCGACTCGGTACCGCCTTCCCAGTGCGATTGTAGTCGAAGTAAGCGAAGGCCTGGGCCATGCGAGCGATTCGGAGTTGCCCAAAGGACCCAAGAATAAAAGGTTAACCTTTTGACTAAGAATGAACCAACATGGGGGAACCAAAAGGTCAAAAGGTCGGCTTCAGTAAAAATGGTTGTTTTCTGGTTTTACTAGGTGGGGGAGGGGGTAGCTTCTGACCATAGGCCCTCTTGGAGGTCCATTCCCATTTGAAGGGATCACCACAGCAACCCTCCGCACCGCCTTTGTTCACGATCCCTTGGCCTTTGCTTTCCGTTCACCTGGGGGGTGGCAGAACCACCCTTTGGGCTATGTTGGTCTTCACAGGGACACTCAAGGGAACACAACTATTTCAGGAAGCCTATTTTTGAGACAACCAAACCATGAAAATTCTGCCCACTAAGTATTTCAGAGTCACTACTTTGAGATTGTCTGACATCCCTTCCTCCCGATTTTCCGGCACTCCCTCAGAGGACGCCCTCACATGCAGTTTGTTGGACCCTTCGATTTTCCACCACCCCCACTGGAAAAGGGTGCAGATTTATTTGGGGGATAGATTTCGGATTTTTCTTTTTTTTTCTTTTTTCGTTCGGGCCAGTAAAATGTGGTATTTTACATTGTCTCGCGAATTGACGCATTTTACACTAGCCCGCCAACATCCCCAGCATCGTTTTCAACATCCCCCACATGTCCGACCAACATCCCTAGCATCACCAACAATCGTGGGTAACATTTAAAAAAAAGTAGCTGGCGGGTTGACGGGGTCAAAAAAACGATGATTCAAATAGGAGGGCATTTCAATCCCTGTTTGTTTTTTTTTGTTTTTTTAAAGTAGCGCGGGGGTTGGGGGGGGGGGGGGGGCCCCCCCATGATGTTCGCAGAAGCGATGATTCGAATAGCTCTGCAAAAAGTCTAAAAAGTAGCGGGGGGTTGGGGGGGGGCTGCCGCCCCCCATGATGTTCGAAGAAGTGATGATTCAAATAGGGGTCCAATTAAATCTCTATAGAAAATCTAAAACGTAGCGGGGGGCTCTCCCCCACCCACCTGCTACTTTTTAGACCTATTTGAATCAACATTTCTTCAAACATCATGGTGGGGGCTGCCGCCTCCCCGCCAACCCCCCGCTACTTTTTAGATTTCTTGTAGAGATCTAATTGCAGCCCTATTTGAATCATCACTTTTTCGAGCGTCCAATTTCGCGAGATAATGCTGTAAAATACGACATTTTAGGTAATCTATGTAATTCATGTATCTGTATGTATGCACTTCTTCGAACATCATAGGGGAAGCCACCCCCGCCAACCCTCCCGCTGCCTTTTAAATTCTATCGCACCCGTTCTTGAATCATTGCACCCCTACTCGAATCATCACTTCTTCGAACATCATGGGGGGGGCTGCCGCCCCCCGTTTGTCTTGACAGGGACGAAGTGGGCCGGTGCCTCACTGCCGAACTTTTGCTTGTTTTAAACAATAGATCCAACGGGCATGACCTTGCTTGGAACTGCAACACGCATCCCACGGATGGGATTGTCAGGTGCCTGAAGCGTCAAAAGACTTGGCCTTGGAACAATCGGCACAACCTTTGTCAAAGACCTTGCAGAGGTAGCTGTGACCGGGAGCGCACCCCCGACAGATCCATTTCAGTGAGAATGCTGTTGCAGGATCGCCGCAGAGCGCTTGCGACACTTGCTAATCTTCACTTGCAGGATAGCAGTGCAAGCCGTGTCGAAGCCCCTGCCTCGACAGCCGAGCCGAGCAGTGCTGCAAGTGCAGGCATTTCAATTATGCAACCTCGTGTCCCCTCTTTGCCTTCCCAGGTAATAGGTGGCGCCCGTCGCCGAATTCGGGGGAAGAACAACCTTTCCCAACCAACGCAAGCCAATGCAGCGCATCCGTCAGGTAGACTTGAGAGAGTGCGTAATGTGCCAATGTCTCTTGATCAGGCCCTTGACGCAAATGTGAGTGAGCTTCCTAAGGTAGATCGGATTGTCTTTGATGACATGGGCTAGCAAGCCCTTTCACCGAGGCACGTCGGGCTGGATTGTGCTTGAAAGCAGGAGCATTAAGCCATTCTTCCCGAGGAAGTTTAGCTTGGGTGCAAAACCTGCAGCCACCAAAAGCCACCAAAGCCAAAAAGCCACCAAAAGCCGCATAAACCAACAAGAAGCCGAAAAGCCAAGAAGCTGAGAAGCCAAAAAGCCAAGAAGCCAAGAAAGCGAAAAGCCGAGAAGCCAAAGAGCCAAAAAAAAACAAAGGGGGGAAAACAACTAAAATAAATACCCCGCCACTGGAAAATCCACTTCCAAGGGGACCTAAATCCCTTCCAGGTCCTCCAGTAGAGAGGTTAGAAGAAGGGTACCCTTTTTCTGTAGTCTATTAGTAGGGGAACTCACCGAAAAAAGAAACGGTGAGAAAGGGCACCTAGCTGGGGGACCCAATCCCTTCCTATCCCCACGCCCAATCCCTTCCTATCCCCACGGTATGCTTCGAAGGGCCGGGCCGGGCGCCCGCGCCCGCGCCAGCGAGCCGCACTTCTCCACCAGCTGCTCCGCGAAGGCCACGAAGCCTCGGCTTGCCGAAAGGAGGCGCTGCGCGTCTTGCGCGCGAAGGCGTCTTGGCCAAATGGGCGCAAAAGGTTCCAAACCTTCAAGCTTCCCAGGTGTCCCTTTGAGGCAACAATGGTGCGATTACAAAAAACATCCATATACTGATTCAGAGCTGGCTCGCAAGTGGAGCCGTTGCAAACTAGTGCCTCTTTGTGCCTAAGAGTGACTATTCGGGTCCAATGAGGACCATTCAGGGCCATGATTGTCCCATGGCTCCTCTTGCTGTGCCTATCGATATGGGACAAGCAGGCGGAGCGTATGATGGTATTCAAGACTTTGTATATTGCCCATGGAAAGGCAATCAGCCAGTCCGTTGAGACCTCTCTGCTTAGGTTCCAAAGTGCACGGTAGAGTCCGGAGACCAAACCGCGCTTGCTTTGCTCGGCCAAGGGTTTCCTTTGACTGGCCTTGTAGAGCCCTTTGCTGGAATGCTTGGGCAATTGTCATAGATTAACCAACCATATAGGCCTGCATAGAGATCCACCTTGTGTTAGCTCTGAAGAACAAAGTGGGTCAAAGAAAGAATGGGAACCCAGGACGAATAAACCTCAGGTTGACTAGTAGAGAAGTGCGTCCCTTCCCTTTCTGGGTGGTGGGGAAACACCCCCAGAAATGATCCACAAGCTTTGATTTGTCGGTCGACATTTCCATCCTTCCGCTTGATTCTTTCAATGTGTCGCAGGTTCAAAAGCTGGGCTCTCTTTAAGATGGAGCCGGCCATCCCAGGTGAACCCGCCCCTCTGCTTTCAGGTCCGTGATTTGCCCCTGGGTTCAACTTGGGTTTCCGCCAACACACAGTGCCAACTGAAGGACCTAAACAAACAAGCGTGAGTTCCCCTACCTACCCACCCACCAATGCTTGGCGCACAAGGGATGGACAAAACAAATGGCAGTCCCCGCAGATCCGATTTGGGTTGGAGTAATCCATGCTCCAATAATCCCTTCTTGGGCATTCGACCTACTTAGCAAGTAGCTGATAACAATGGTTATATGTGGGGAAATGGTTCTTATCCACTTACCAAGTAGGTTGAACACCCAAGCGTGGTGCCTCAACTGCCGCTGAGACGCTGATAGGAGCATCTGCTGGTCGCATGCTTCCTCCACATCGGAAAAAGAAGACAAAATACGAAGGCTGGTCAGCACGGCTCTCGAAGGCTTGCTTTTGGCTATGGGAAAAAACCGCCTGGTGCACAGAGGGTCTCTTTTTAAAATGGGACCCTTCATCTTGGGAGATATTCAGTGCATTTGTGGTTGGAGGGGCGTCAATCACATATTCCTTACCAACAAGCAAGCTCTGAATGCTTATTCCCAACCACCTTGGGCTTTGTCGGAACTTGTGAAACCAATTTTTTGGGGGGGAGCCTGGCAATCTATTGTTAGCTGGCTGAGACCAGCGCAACAGCCGCTCCCAGCCTCCATCATCAGCTTCGCGCGACCTCAACATGAGCGTCCGCTGCATCGGAGTAGAGTAAGCCAGGCGGGGCCGGTGTTTTGCGCCGAGTTTTGAGACAAGCTTGGAATCCCACAGAAATATGCGCACTTCTGGGGCCCGATCAATGAGTCCAACTAATCAAGGTAGTCAACAAAGGACCACACTCCCCCTGCAACCGAGTTGCCTAAGGCCTTAACAACAATGCCTGGGTCATGGTTGGCTTCCATGGAAGCTGGTCAAGCAGCACGGCAATTCGGATTCTCGAAGCATGAACCTTCGAGTGTCCAGAGCAGCCCGGGTCCTTGAAAGAAAGTCTAAGGAGTGCCCCCAACCACCCGAGCCGCCCCAACTCCAGACGACTTGACCCATTGCCATTGCATTAATCATTGCATACTGGCCATGAGCCATGGTCAGAGCTCCTGAAGAAACCATGGTCATGGTTATCCTTTGTAGAGATCCTTGTTCCACTGAGCGGATTCGACAAAAGCGGTAAACCTTTTTGTTTACTACTACAGTCATTTTCCCAAAAAGTATAAAGTCCAGAAACTTGGGAAGTGCTCAACACATGATTTGTCAACACACACACACACCCTCATGTTCTTGTTGGGGGGTTGAATCAACATACCAACGAAGCCGAAATATAGGCATGCCTGTCGGAATGTGGCCAAAAGCCTCCCGCTCAAGCAAAAAGCAAAGAGCAACAGGCAACAACAACCCGGGTTCTTGTATGTCCAGCCTAAAAACATTCCTCCGCCAGATAGAAATTCCATCGAAGTTGACAACCAAAAGGTGATGCTTAAACCACCCCAAGAAGAGGTATACGTCGTTTTCGGGCAGCAACCTTTTTGGGGCTGTGAAAGGTGACCAAAGGGGAAACCAAAGCATTTCCATCTTGGGGCACGCCGTATTGCTGAGCCGAAAACCCTTCGCAATTGAAGCGCCCCCGTTTCCCCGCCATTGGTTTAGTCTTTGAAAGTTGGAAAGTTGACAAGTTGAACAGTTGAAGAGCTCAACGGAACAGTTGGAAGGGAAGAATCACAAACTTTAGTCTTCCCCAAAAGCCAATAGACAGTTGGTTTCTGGCCTGGCCAAACAAACTCCGGGGTGCACCCAAAAAAAAACAGTTTACGTAGCCATGCAAATTCTGGAGGAAACCCCGGAGATCAGCTAAATAGCCGAGTTGCTGCTTTTTGTCCAGACACTTTACCCTCAAATTCTCGGTGTTGCTGGGCAAAAAAGAGGGAAAAAGAGAATAAAAAGAGTAACTGGCGGTCTAGGCAGCCAAGGACCCCCCCACTTCCGACCTTCCAACCTATCGCTTCCGTTTCCAAGGTTCGCGCGCGGTGCGCGGGGCGGAGGTGACCAGCGGTGCCGCATCCAGGCCTCGTCGAATGCGTCTGATGGCGTGATGGTGCTGGTTGTGTATTTGTCCTTTCGGATGTGAACACACAGAAAAAAGACAGGAACATAGCATGTGAGTTGTTCACACCCAACCCAAAGTGTCCTTTCGAACATACTTTCTTAAACTAAAACAACAAACACATGTCAATGCTAGTAATCATTGACAAAAGCCACAGCTTGTATAGAAACAACAGGCATTAGGGTCAAGCCTCATCCACCAATGGCGGAAGCCCATTGGTGTCTCTCAAAATAGGGGGGACCCCCCCCAGAAAAAAGGTGTCCCTTAAACAACAAGCCAAAAAAGGGGTACCCTCAAACAAAGCCACACACACACACACATACAGACCCCGAAAACCCTTCCAGGGTCCAAGGAATGGTCTTCTGGGCAAAGGGGGGTCGGAGTGTTGAAACTGGACCTTGGAACCTTGATGAAATGGTCCAAACTAAGTGTCAAGCAGAGAATTATTTTACTCAAGAACACCTCTGAGCTGTTTGGATCCAGAACATTGGATATCAAAAGCAGGTGTCCCAGTCAATGTGCCAAGGATGTAAGTGTGTCTTGCTTTGAGGGTGCCATTAATTCTTACCCTGGCTCAAGGGGAAGCCATTGGAAAACCACCATGTTTGGAACTACACCCATATGACAGTGGTAGAATAAGCGTAAAATAACCTGCTTCCTGATATGATATGAGTTGAACACCCAAGTATGCGGGCAGGTCAGCTCAGGCAAGTTATAAGTCTTCGGAGCTTCTGGCTTCCCTTTCGTTGCTTCAATTCAAGAGTTGTTTTTTGCCCATATCAAACTATGCACTCCTGAAACACTAAAACAACCGGACATGGACCGTTTGTGATCCTCGTTGGATTGATTCTGTTTGGGTGGGTTCCTTCTGCAAATCTTCCGGGGAGTAGAACAGTAGAACCCCTCACCCACGTGCCTGTCTCTTTGAAGCTTCGGGCCGGCGCAATACTTGGGCTTGGCTTCCCCTTCAGCTTTGCCAACCAAAAAAGGGCCAGGGTTTTGCTTTTGACCATTGGGACGAGTCTGGCAGAGGAATCCTACACTTTCAGAGCCTCAAACGCAATACATGTTTCCAGGCAGGGCGATGTTTAAAACACCACCCCGAAAGGTGTCCAGTTGCAGGTTTTCCCTTCGCTTTGCCCTTTGAAAGCCAACCAAAGGTTGTCCAAAAGGAGCCGAAAAGATCCTCGCCAACCTCTGGGCTGCTGGGGAGTCCCGGCTGCTGAGCGGCGGAAGCGCTTCCCGCGCTCCAGCAGGCAAATGCGACTGCGGGACCGGAGCTGGGTGAGCGCTTTTTGTGGAGTAGGCTGCAGGGCAAATTACTATAAGTCAAAACCGGAAATAAGAGAAGCACCCAGCAGAGGACGTTCTTCATGAGGCGAGCTCGTTATCATTTGCACAATGGTTTATAAGAAAGAGCACTACCTGTTGCCCTCCTTTCAACCATAACGTGGCTTGATTTCCCCAGTGCACTCCCGCTTGACCTCTATGGGAAAATATCCTTTTGGGGGAACCCCTTTTTGGGGTTTCATGTCAATCTGCAGGGGATTAGATGATCAAACCCCAGCTGCGGATCCAGTTGTTGTCGGGCCAAAGAAAAAACGACCAAAAGCCGATTGCGTGACCCTGGGTACTACCATGGCTGAACTTCTAATCCCAATGTTCCCCGTGCCCAGGGTTGTGCTCGATGTGCCTGGTTGTGCTCTGGCCCAAAGGCCCCAATCCAAAAATTCGCCTGACCGTAGGGCCTTTCCAATGTTCTTCGTGGACGGGGTTGCGGAGGTTGCGCACCATTTGCTGGGGCCGACTCTTGGCACTAAGTCGGTTGCCGAGAATGGCATAGTTTCAGGAGGAATCAAACATGTTTGGGGAATCCATACTTTTTTCCACATGCTTAGGATTGACTGAAACCTCAGAAGCCAAAAGGTTAACAGGCGGATCTGCCTTAAGCAGGCCATCAAGGACCTACGGCGCTCCATGGTCAAAGGAATACTATTTCAGCTAGATAATGGTCGGAACTCCGCCGATGGGTAATGGTCATGGCTCCATGAATTTGCTGACAATTCCTAACTTCGAGGCAAGCAACCATGTCGTTTGATCACTGCGCAGGTGTGCGGGGCTGACAAATTGGGTTCCGCTGCGGTTGGAGCAACTGCTTTGAAGGCGGCAGCATAACCGTGAAACGGTTGTTTTTTTTGAGGCTCCCGATGATTGACAACATTCTATGTGGCAAGTCCAAAGCCCTTCAAAACATTGTACCCAAAGCCTTCTCGAGGTATTTGGTTAGGAGTGTACCAATCAAAATCAGGTGTGAAACGGGTGTTTTTTTGAGGGTTCCTTTTCGGGGTGCGATGGAAGCCAAAAGGGAACCACATATTTGGGGGTCAACTATTTTCAGAGGCCGAATGGCTCACAGTGCACAGTACTGGCCCAAAACGCCAGAGGCTAGGTGGTCAATAGCCCGTATCATGTTGACGGCATCCTTGCTCCTCAATACCAAAGTGCCAAAGTTCAAATTGGACTTTGACTCATTTGCCAGCGAAAAGTTCCACAAGTTTCATTCAGTCTAAGGAAGACCTTCCAGACATATACTGCCAGCGCCGGATTTAATCATGCCTTGGTTGATTCATAGAGGGCGTCCCACTTCAGAGGGAAACCTCCACTGGAAGAAACAGCCCCCAGTATTCATCCGACAGATTTACTCATCCGGCGGCCAACATGAAGACACCTGCCAACCAAAGGCTCAAAGTCCGACCCAGCCAGACTTCGCCTGCCAGCTGGTGGGTTCATCATTGGGCTGGTGCCAATGCCTTGGTGAAGAAAGAAAGGGGCAGCTGGTGTGCGGGAAATGACCCTCTGCTGTACGAAAATGGAGCAACTTTATCACTTTCAAGAGGATTCCCTTGGGATCACAGAAAGTGGGCCCAAACCCGATGTTTCACTGGCATGCCACAGGAAGCGACAGCCGTTGCAAGGCCCACCTTCCCATATTTTGCTGGGAGCGAGGAATGGAATGGCCCGAACTGGACCATCCAACTGGTGGTTTTGTTTTGGGGGACGCAGGTTCCCAACAATCCAGGGTGCTTCCCTGCTGAACACCACAGGATGGGGTTCAACGTGGCGAAGGACCCTTGCGTTTGGGGTGCGCTGCCTTTTTTTTTTACGGGAAGCAAGATGAAACCCACTGGAGTATCCTCGAAGATTCCCCCGTCGAGGGACCTTCAAAGATTCCCCCGGCTGC